ATAAAATATGGACTACTAAAATTAACTATTTTTAAAACATTTAAAAATTATTTTATGTGTATGTGTGTTTTGGTTGCATGTACATCGGTGCTTGGCTGCATGCATATTTGTGTACCACTTGCATGCCTGTTGCTCTCAGAAGCCAAAAGAGGATGTTGGATCCGCTGGAACTGGTGCTGTGGATGGTTGTGAGCCATCATGTAGGGGCTGGGATCAAACCTGGGTCCTCTGCAAGAGCAGCCAGTCCTCTTGGCTGTGCTGACTCATCTCTCCAAACCCAATATTTCTTTTTCTTTTTTTGTTTTTTTTTAAGATGTAGTCCTTGTTGATTTCTGTTGGATAATGAGGTTCTGGGAACCTAAGAGTTCATGGGGTTGTGGTCTAAGACCGGAAGACTGTGTATCAAGCAAGAGGGAGGAGAACTCTGCTTCAGACATGGGATCTGAGGTGTTTAGTACATCTAAGAGGCAATGACAGATAAGACTGCAGACCATGTCTGTCTATCATTTGGGTGGGCCATCTGAGTCAGAGACTTCAATATGGAAACTGTCGGCATTTAGAGAGAGGGTGAGGGAGAAGAGACTCAGTCCAGAGCCTCAATGCCTCCCTACATCCAGAGGCTTGGGGAAGAGGAAGAATCATTAAACAGATTGAACCGAAATAGCCAGAGAAGGAGAAGGAAAGCTAGGAGAAGATGATGTCATCAGAGCCAAAGGGAGGGCATAAGGAGGAGGGAAAAGCCAACTGTGTCGGGCTGCTAAGTCGGCTGCTGCTAGTAAGCTGGGACTGATTGACCTCTGGAATCATGGAGGTCACTGGGGTCACTGGGGACTCAGACAAGGAGCGGAAAGGGTGAGAGCCTGACAAATGCATTTAAGAAAGAATAGAGAGAAGCCAGTTGGTGGTGGCGCACACCTTTAATCCCAGCACTAGCTAGGCAGAGTCAGGCTGATCTCTGAGTTTGAGGCCAGCCTGGTCTACAGAGCGAGTTCCAGGACAGCCAGGGTTACACAGAGAAACCCTATCTCAAAATAAATAAATAAATAAATAAATAAATAAATAAATAAGAAAAGAAAAGCGAAAGAATAAATAGAGAGGATTAGAAACAACAGACAATGTTACTGCACTTTTCTGCAAAGAACAAAGATTTGGAATGACTGTTAATGGTGGAAGTGAAGTGAAGAAAACAGTTTTTATATGGAATGTTGTATGTGTCTGCAAGTGAATAAGAACAATTTGGTGGAGAGGAAGGTGAGAAAATCCTCAGTGATGTCTTGGTGTAGTCGAGAGCTGTGGAATCAAGTGCATGGGGGACAGTGTGGTTTTAGACAGGTGTTTATTACAGTCACAGGAGGTAGGCGGAGTATTGTGTGAAATTGGATTGATGTGGTGCTGTGAGTCTGCGAGGTTCTTGTCTGATTGCTTCAGTTTCTCAGTGCAATAGGAAACAAACAGGGTAGAGAGCAGTGGTTCTCTACCTTAGTTGTACCATAGCCTGGGAACTTTTAAAACCACAGGTGCCTGGGCCTAACTCCCAGAGATGAAATTGTAAATGTAAATTAAATAATAAAATCCATGTATTGATATTCTTTTAAAGTTTCCCAAGCTTTGTACTGCTGAGGCTGAGAACCATCGGATTAGTAGAGAAATCTGTCCTTTGCAAGAAGATGGCATAACCAAAGACCCGGAGGATGAGAGAAAGCTCAGAAAGTACGGCAAATGTGTTCTAGGCAGGAAAATGTGCAAAGGCCCTGGAGAGTGTGACTGGACTATAGCAAGCAAAGGCAAGGTGGGATAGATGAAGCCAGGGCTTTCGTTTTGCAAGTTCTTGCAGCCAATGCCTAGAAATTCGAGTTTATGTTAACTATGAATGGGGCATTATTGAACAGTTTCATGTAGAGGAATGCAGTGATCTCATTTGCATTTCTCAAAGAGCACGAGGCTTTGAGAGAAGGGGCTGTGGGAAGGAGGACAAGAATGAAAGTAGGTGACCAGTTGGGCAATTTGCTTCATGCCAGTGAGAACTGATGGAAACTAATTCAGGAGTCGAAAGCCAAGAACGGTTTGGAGAAATAACAGTAATATATGTTGATGAGCTGTGAACAACCATGGCAGGATGGCACTTGTGTGTCTTTCCCACTTCCAGAGGAGAGAGACTAACATTTCCCTCCAAGTACACTCAGGAGGAAGCTTCATGGCAACCTTTTGGGTTGCCAGCTTCTTTACACTATTTGGTTACAAAGCAGACCTCCCACCTGCCAGATATGCTATATGTACTATGGGCAGGACTGGAGACCTTACCAAGAGATTGTCAAGGGCACCTGGTTTGACTTGCATTCCTTCTTCTTGCACCCACAATGCTCAGCAGGCAGGATCTGGAGACACGGGAAGATGCTGGGTATGCCAGCCTCGAACTACCTGGGGACTCCGTCCTTTCACTACCCACCCAGGATGCAGAAGAGACCAGTGATGACCTCATTTCACCCTATGCCAGCTTCTCCTCCACAGCGGATCGTCCCATGCCTCTACTCAGCGGCTGGCTGGACAAGCTCTCGCCTCAGGGGTAGGGCTTCAGGGAAGGGAAGGGAAGGGAAGGAAAGGGAAGGGAAGGGAAGGGAAGGGAAGGGAAGGAAGAAGATGAGGGCTGAGAGTTAGGGGACAGGTTCTAGGCCATGAGATCACCCACAGCATGGGTTCCCAAACACTTAACTAAACTCGGCCTCTTCCTTCTTCAGAAATTATGTGTTCCAGAGACGTTTTGTGCAGTTCAACGGAAGGAGTCTGATGTACTTTGGCAGTGACAAGGTAGGGGACTGGAGCTGCTGCATGGATACTATCGAGAGAAGGATAGGGAAGGCTGAGAGAAGCTGAGAACTGGAATGATGGGAAGCCCATGGTGGAAGGACGGCCACAGCTGCTTGGTGTTAGCATCTGAGGTAGCTGGCTCAGCAGTTATAACCATGTGGATTGAATGCTGATCTCATGAAAGTTCAGTTCATGTAGCTCAGGTCTTGTTCACCTGAATCACTGGGCTTTCTCTCCAGGACCCCTTCCCCAAAGGTGTGATCCCTCTGACTGCCATCGAGATGACCCGAAGCAGCAAAGACAACAAATTCCAGGTCGTTACCGGTCAGAGAGTATTTGTGTTCCGCACAGAGAGTGAAGGTGAGAGCCAGAGCCCACTGGGTTAGGGTACGTGGAAGGCTAGGTTAGCACACATCTCATTTCCTGTCCCCCTTCCCCACTCCCACCAGCTCAACGTGACATATGGTGCTCCACATTGCAATCCTGCCTAAAGGAGCAGCCCCTCCTGGGCCATCCCCACCCCCCTCACCCACCACGACCCCTCCGTACTGGCATGTTGGAGTTGCGTGGACACAAGGCCAAGGTGTTTGCTGCTTTGATCCCTGGAGAGTTGGCATTGTACAAGAGTGAGCAGGTAAAGAGGGCTGGGCAGGAGCTGATGAGCTTGGCTAGCTCATTTGGGAATCTAACGGTGTTGTGTGCCCCTGACCCTGCTAGGCCTTCTCTCTGGGCATTGGGATCTGCTTCATTGAACTGCAAGGCTGCAGTGTCCGAGAGACCAAGAGTCGAAGCTTCGATCTGCTCACACCCCATCGTTGCTTCAGGTGGGGCCTAGACTGGTGAAAGGCGAGGCTAGGCTCTTTTCAAGGGAGATCACAAAGGTGCAGAGGGTTGGAGGCCTCCTCAAAAGATTATCAATGGGTTATAAATGATAAGGTGATGAGAGTTCAATGAGCAAGGTCAAGGTGTCAGGGAAGGAAGAAGGGGATGTAGCTCATTGCTTGAGCTGCTTGCCTAGCATGCACAAAACCCTGAGTCTGATCCCTAGCATAGCATAAATCAGGTATGATAGTGCATGCCTCTAAGCCCAGCCCTGGGAGCCAGGGGATCAGAAGTTCAAAGTCATTTTCAACCATATAGTAAGTTTGAGCTAACCTTAGATAGATGAGACCCTGGCAAAAATGAAATAAAAATAATATTTCTGTCCCAGAAGTGGCCTCTGGTAGCTCCTGTAGGTATGGCCATTGGGATAGGGTGTGGAGGGAGGTCCATGCCCATGGACTGGCTGTCCACCCCTCAGCTTCACAGCCGAGTCTGGGGGGGCTCGACAGAGCTGGGCGGCCGCTCTGCAAGAAGCAGTAACCGAGACCCTGTCTGACTACGAGGTGGCTGAGAAGGTCTGGTCAAATCGGGCAAACCGACACTGTGCAGATTGCGGGGCCTCCCGCCCAGATTGGGCTGCTGTCAACCTGGGGGTGGTGATCTGCAAGCAGTGTGCAGGTGAGAGGTGGGCCTCAAGCACAGATGGGAGGAGAGGGACTGGGTCAGGGGAACTTGGGCAGGACTCTAAATACTCTACCACATGGCTTTCGCATACTTGCAGGTCAGCACCGGGCCCTGGGCTCTGGGATCTCCAAGGTGCAGAGCCTAAAGCTGGACACGAGTGTCTGGAGTAATGAGATAGTTCAGGTGAGGAGTCTGAGGAAAGAGTCTGGGGAGGCACAGAAGGAGGCATCCAAAAGCAGACTTTGGGTCCAGCTTGGGGACTAGAGAGTTCTGGTCACTCATCTTTGCCTCTTGTCATCCTGTAGTTGTTCATTGTCCTGGGAAATGATCGTGCCAACAGCTTCTGGGCAGGGGCACTACCCCCAGGTGAAGGGCTGCACCCAGAATCAGCCCCTGGGCCTCGGGGAGAGTTCATCTCCAGAAAGTATCAGCTGGGTCTCTTCCGGAAGCCCCATCCTCAGCATCCGGATCATAGCCAGCTTCTACAGGTAGAAGGGACAGGTTGGTGTTGTGGGGGGGGGGTTCAGGGTGCAGTCTGTATTGGAATGCCTAGACCTGAGTGATAAAGGCTGCTTTTGGTGATGAAAGACAGTTCCTGAAGGAGCTCTTGGATTGTATATGAGGCTGACAGAGACCTTCCTTCCCTGTAGGCACTGTGTGCAGCTATGGCGGGACCCAGTGGCTCCCAACTTGCTAAAGAACATGACCCAGCTCTTCTGTGTAGAAGCCACTGAGGGAGAGGAGCCCTGGTCCCCTTCAGCCCTCAATGGCAGCTTGCATAGCCTTCTACCATCAGGTCATCCTCTCAAGTAACTCATCTCTCTCCCTAGGAGTCCTCACACCCAACTTATGACTTGTTTCTTTGGGGGGGGGGCATTACCTCATTCCCCTATCTATCTCAATGGCAGACTTGGCAGTTTCCCAACCTCCCAGACTTCCTGAAGTCAAGGGATGACTAACGAGAGCCCGAAGTCACTGCCTATAATAGTCAGGATGTATCCAGGTGTTAGTACCCTGCCATTTTGACAGCATCAGCCTGCCAGACGGGTCTCGTCTTCCTGGGGACATTCCTCTTGCTTGAATAAGTAGTTGGTTTAATGATTTTTGGCTTACATTCATCAGGCCAGATAGGTCAAGACACTTAAAAAATAGTCATGCTCTGAAGTGCCTGCCTGGTTGGGTGGCTGTGGGGAAAGAAGTAGTCAAATACAAGGCCAGAGGCCTGTCTATGTCCTTGTCCCCTGTCTCACTCTTCCAATCTGGGTAGTGAGGGACTCACTCCCATTGGGCTGCACTCCATGCTGTTAGTGGAGTTGGGTCCCATGGTCTGGTCCCATTGGATGCATTCTCTAAAGGGATCATGCCATCCCTGCACTGTCCTCACCTTCTCACTTCTTCCCCCTGCAGACTCCTCCCCTGGAGTATACAACGAGGTGGTAGTGCCTGCCACTTACAGAAATTTCCTGTACTGTGGTCCCATCAGCAACAAGGCTGGAGCCCCACCCCTACGCAGGGGCCGGGATGGTGAGCAGGAGCCAGGGGGTGGGAAGAAACAGGGGTAGAGAGGGGGTTAGGTATGAATGTGCTGCTGAGAGACAGGAGGCCAGATCTGGGCTAGGAAAGTGCCCTGGAGTGGGCTGGGATGCTGGGGGTGAGAGAGGGACCAGGTCAGGCCACAGCACTAGATGACAGTTAAGAGATTCTTCTCTGAAGTCAGACTGTCTGGGTCAACTATCTCTTTCCTACTTGTGTGACTCAGGCGTGCTGCACAGATGGCAAGCCTCAGTTTTCCCATCTGCAGAACAATACTTAAATACAAACCCACTTGCTAGCGTGACTGTGACCATTCTGTAGTATCCACCGTAGGAAGAAGGCTTGACGTGAAATGAGTACGTGGGGATGGAGACTGTGATGATGGGTAC